GGAACTTGGTGATTATGTTGGTTTGCAGGGATAGTCTTGGATATTCAGGTCAATATGAAGTTAGGTACCTGTTCAGGATACAATTAGAAATATGTGCATTAGGCTGAAGGGGTAAAGATTTGGAATTCATTCAGAGAGTCATTGAAGTCCTGGAAGACAGAAAGATCCGTTAGAGAATTGTGGAGATGAGGAGGAGAAGAGTCAGGCTGAGAACATCAAGGCAAGGCAATGCCAAGGGGATGGACCAAGAGCAGGAGCCAGCAAGGTGACAGGACAAGAGAACTAAGAGTAAACCCAAAATGTGCCCCCTCCCAATGGTAAATTTAGGTTAACGTCAATGAGGCTGAAGATCAAGGAAAGGAAAAAAAAAAAAAAAGGATGTTGGATTTTGTAACAAGAGGTTCATTGGAATATTGCCAGAAAGTACTTCCAGAAGAGCAGTAGGGTATAGCCCAGTGATAGAGCCATGAGTATTAGGTGAGAAAGTTAAGACAAAAGTCTAGCCTTTTGAGAAATTTGGAAGTGAAAAAAATAAACAGAGATAGGACAGGACTTCAAGAGTCTAATTGGATTGAGAGATTTGTCTTTGGAGATGGCGGGGTGGTATGATTTGTTTTCTGGGATGGTTACAGGTAAGGATACAATAGAGTATTATTGGTTGGAGAACACCGCGGGAAAGGTCAGAGGGTGGGTATCAGAGCACAGGGAAGAGGAGCGCTGAGTTGGAAGGGAAGACGAAAGAGATGAGTGAAGGACAGAGACATGTAAGGGTAGAGAGGGGAGGGTATGTGAGGATTTTTCAATCATCAGATATCTTTTTGTGGCAACACAGTAGGAAAGAGTACCTGTTGAAAGAGAGAAAATGAAAATGAAGGGAAAATAAAACGAATTTAACAAACACTTAAAGAATGTGGCATGGAGTCAACATTAGAGAAATAAAAAAGATGTCTAAGATGAGTAGGGTTCAGGTGAGATTTGTGCTCTTTGGCATAGATTTAAGACCTTCTCTTTTAGCAGGCTGGGAGCATGAGATGCAGAGTTAGATAAGCAAGGTAGGTACAGAGAGAAGGCAAGAAGAGATTGCTGGTGAGAGTATTGCTGATGCCAGTAAACCCAGGGTTAGACCAAAGAGGGAAATCAGTGAAACCAGATGGGTTTATGGACCAGAACCGCAGAGGGGGTTTCAAGGAAGGCAGATAAGATATAGAAAATACAAGTTTGTGGTCAGAGGGAGAATTTCAGAGTTTTAGCTCCGGGAAGTATAACAATGCCAAAAGAGGATCAGGCTTGGCCATGACACAGACAGCTAAGTGTCTGCAATGTTTTTTCAAATAATATAATGGATATCTTTGGCACATACCCTGAAACCAGCCAATATTAAACCTGCATATATAATCACACAGATTTATGCACACCTACTTATATATACATTTAAATATTTTACACTTATGCATTCATATCTTCTATGTGAGTATAATATATTTCATTTTACAGTCTTGTATATTCTTTGTAGAACTAGCCCGGGGATATAGTATGTGCTCAGTAGACATTGGTTTAATTGAACTAACATATTTAATCAGAGCTTTTAATTTTTTTCTTCTGCATAGTTAACTAGAATCTGCTCCACCCCCTAAATCCGATAAAATAATTACCGATAAAAAGAGTTCAGGTTTAAAGCATGGAAACCAAATCTTTAAAATAACAGTTTGATAATGGGCTTAGTGTTGTGCTTCCTAATTGTACCCTTAATCTTCACACTGAGTTCCATTTCTTCTACCTTTGCCAGAACACAGATTCTATACCCCAGAGCGCCCAGGCTCTGAGGAATTCTCTTTGTCTTCTCTGCTGTCCACCTGCAGTTCTCTCCAGGGGCCCCCACCCTCATAATCCCGCCAGAGGTTATATTTTAAAGCATGAAACAGAGCCAGAAACTCATTGTGATGAGCTGATACGGAGAAACAAGGAAGGTTTCTAACCTTCCCCACTTATTCCTGGTACTGCTGTCCTAACCCATTACTCTTTGAGCAAAATTCCTTCTCCAGGGCAGGGGGGGATGGCAGCACTGACTTTCACTTAAGGTTTTCGGTGGGGGCCGTTGCCATGGGAATAGACAGGCTATTTATTCTAAGTCATAGCACTCACACGGCCCCTGTGTGATTGTGTCAATGTGGCTGGAATGGGATGAAGGTGGGGAGGATTCAGATATCCTGTGATTTTATGTATTACTGGAACCCCCCAATGACAGTAGAATCCTATATGTAGGTCACTATGAGAAGCTGTCAAACTAGTCTGCATTTTCATGTGAATATCTGGTAGGCCAAAGAAAGAATTGCCCCACAGGTCGACAGCTGGGAGTCAAGGGCTTCCTCAACAGTGAGCGTGTGTTTGGATAACTGGGCAGCCCCTGTGGAAGGGGGGAAGTATAGAATACAGACCAATCTGGCGAACTGGAAGATTAAGCAAACTGGGCCAGAGAGCAGAAAATTATAGTAACTTTTTCTGATACCATTAATTCAATTTTTTTCTTTCTAGCTGCCTCCTTAGTAACTTGTGATATCAGCTTCTATCTTCTATAGCAACAGTCCTAGTCCTACAAGTATTGAACTTAGAAATCCATAATTACACACCCATGTGACTGTGGATTGGAAATAGTTCCTGGCTAGGAGTCCTATTTGGGGTATCACGTGAGCCTTAAATAAAAGCAGGTGGAAATGAAATATGGTCCAAATGTCTCTACCTTCTAGAACCTGTGTATCCTTGTTCCCTACTCTGTTACTTAGTGCTCTCTGCTCTCTCCCTCTTCTCTTGTATCGTAACTTATTCCCAGGAAAAGGAATGAGAATTCTAGTGTAAATTAGGTGTTTAAATGTATAAATCCCTAATATGGCTTAATATGTCACCTTTCCTGGGATGACTTTCATTTAAACGACAGATGAGCAGCTCAGTGCTAACGCAACACATCTGTGTGGGAACCCAGGGGCTGGAGAGGGGTGGGGAATGAAATGAAAAGTCTTTTTCAGGACCTTGAAATCACACCATGGACCCAATACCAAGTGTAAGGCCAGACCCACTGCAGGGTGACTGTGCACCTTGAGATGCTTCCCCTCCACAAAGAGGTCCTCAGACAGGAGGAAGAGTCTCTGACACCCACGTGAAGAAGGCAAAGGCTCTGCCATAGTGTTTAGTAGCCTACCGAGCACACGTTTCCTGTATGGCTTTGGGCTTGAGAGCACAGAAGGAATGGCCACAATCCCTGGAAACACCAAAGGCATTCATCAATAACACTGCAGTTACATAGTTATGCGCACATCTGAATCATTCCTAACACTCCGAAACAGACATGCACTGGGTGTCAAGCAATGACAGGGCTTTTTTTTTTAGAGAGATGGCGATTAAAAGAATAAAGTGAGTTCTGGAATAGCTTTTCCAAAGGCTGTTGCCCAAACAATCTGGTTATTCTGTCTCTAAATCTTGAACTAACTAAAAACAAAACCAAAACAAAGAAACCCTAGTTCTTAAATGAGATGTGCAGGTGACCAGCACTCTGCAGAGAATTCTCCCTCGGGCAATGCCTCATGGCGGCGGAAGACTGGGTGGATGATATTCACTTAACTGTATGGACGACTCCTATCCTATCACATTACACATGCGTTTTGGCACTACTGACACCAGCAACGTTTAATGGAATCATTTGGGATTCCCCCCATCACAACATGGCCGTGGCCAGTACAGGGGAATGCACATTAAGGGTGTTTCCCGCGTTCTGGCTGAAGGTACACAGTGATGAATTTTGAAATAACAAGTCACACTGTACACGCATCACTCTGAAGGGTGTGCACATTCTTGACTCAGGCAAATTCAAGATTTTGGAGTGGGATTACTGAGGTCAGTGGAAATGCTGAGCTTTAAACGTTGCCCCTTAAAGGAGTGACACAGGACCACACCCAGCAACCCACTTCTGCACAGGAAGGGAATGACAGAGGCACGCATGAGACAAAAAGCATGGATTCTGAAGAAAATGGGAACCGTAGGTGCTCCTGAGGATATCTGTGGAATAGCACAGTTTTGGGTGGATTGGGTATTGGTTCCCACCTATCTGTGATGCAGACTGGGCTGACTTCTGAATTCTTCCTCATGCATTTCACTGGCTTCTTATTCTGAAATTCAATAACATCTAGAACTTAACAGTGCTCAGCCTTTCCTTTCTTTGAGCAGACCACGAATATCTTACTTGGTCCCAATGCAAACACCTAGTTGAAGAGAAATGACCAATTGGGGCCAAATATGGGTCTAGAAAGATGAAATTATCTAGCTGACAGCTTTCATGATGGGAAGATAGGAAACAATAAGATGTAATATGCCGGGTAAATGGACTTGGAAATTTCATCCCGTGGTAAGGAGACAGAGGCTGCTACCCTCCACAGAGCCAACAGTCCAGTGAAAGAAATTCTATTTGTCTTGTTAACCCAAGGTCAGGTTTTGAACACCTGGCTTGAGGCCAGTAGTACCTTCCTGATGGCAGTAATGAGGACAAGGCAAACACAGAACCACCACTGGCACCATGCCTCGCATGCCCACCCCCTTCTACCTCTAAAACCAACGGCAGCAACTTTGCTAAGGGGATCATCCAGCCACTGAGTTTTAAGCGGATCTGGTCATCTTTTCTAGAAAAGCATGCGAATTTGTAAGACAGGTGTCTGGTGCTACCTCTCTGTAATATCACATGCTTCAAAAAGTAAAGTTAGTGGACATTTTCTGGGTGTGCCTGCGGTGCTGATTTCTAAGGGGTGGACCGGGTGGACCAGTGGGAGGGTCAGTGCCCAGTACTGGGAAGAAGAGCCTCAGATGACTGAGCTAGTTGTTAAGCGTCAGAGGAGGTTGCTGGGAGGTTTCTCAGGACTGAACTTCCTGAAACCTCTCAGCCACACCAAGAATGGGAGGTTCATGTGACCTCAATTCTGTTTTAAGCCCTTTTGGGACTCTTTCTTGCCCTAGGTACTGACACGGGGAATATGGTGCCACCAGCCTGTCTTCACATGGAGCACGGGTCCCTATGGTCTACCTAGAAGATAGCAGTTAGACCCGGGGTTTGCTTAGAGCCAGACGGGACCCTCTGCAAAGCCCAGGTAAAAATGCACTGACATTTTTCACTGACCAGCAAGAAGACTGGGCCGGGGAGGGGGCATGGACACAAATCCCTTTCCCCTGGCTTTTTCACCAAAGTGGCCTCCATTCGCACTCACTTTCCCAGACATCCTGAAGCACGAGCCGTACAAAACAATTTCCCCTGATGGAAAATGAAAACCCGTAACAAAACACTTTCCCCCTCCTGCCCATCCCCACCCCACTCCCTCCAGCCCGACACCCTGAATACTCACAAGAGAACACTTTATCTATACAAAATTAATTAGAAAACAAAATATTTACATATGAAATAAACACCATCTTGATTTCTGTCGCCAGTGGGGACTGAAAAAGACCCCTTGGTTCTAGATTGCTGTTCGCTAGGTTAGTTGGTTTGGCTTTTTTTTTATTTTATTTTTTTATTTTAAAGGGGTGAGGTAAGAGGAAGATGAGGGGATGAGCCCCTGACCCCCGGACAGAGTCGGGGCGAAGCGGTGTTTAGATGGCCCTTCGCCTTCTTCCTCCTGGAGAAGCCTCACGCCCTCTGTCCTCTCCCAAGGTCTCTCCTTGCATCTAAGGTAAAGCACTCGTGCCCTCTCTGCCAATCTGTGAGAGGTTCAGCCCCTTGCCCCCGCGTCCATTTCGGAAAGAAAACAGAGCTTTACAAGGCCTTCAGTTGGCTTTAAAATGAAAGATACTGAGGTAAAAATCAAGGAGGAGGGTGGGGGCAGCAGTCAAGGGCAGGGATGAGGAAGGGTCGCGAGTCAGGGCAAACGGAAAGGCAAAGAGCAGCCCTGGAGGGTGTGACTTGAAGAGACATGGCAGCTTCCTTCCAGAGGAGGATGAGCACCTTTCTGGTTTGTGTGTCCCGTGTGCAACATGGCGGTCCTGCAGTCAAGCTTCCAGACAGACCCGGGGCTCTTTGGACGCCACCCTGTGCAGGGGAGGAGGGCAGGACAGTGGAACTGACCCACAGAACAGCCCTACCCCAAGTTTCAGGACCAGCAGTGACAAATATTCATTTCCCGTCTCCATTTTCCAACTTTAAGTGAAGGGGGCATCATGCCTGCCAGTACCCTCATCCCTGGAGTTTTATACATATATGGTTTTTTTTTTTTTTTTTGCTTGAATGGTACAATCTGAGAGGGAAAGGAGGTATTGCAGGAAGGTGGAAGGGCCTCTACCAAGAGTGTTCGCTCTGGGCTCAAGTCACATTCCCGGGAAGCCAGGCCCAAAGAGTTGGTGGAGAGTCCCTCCCCGCCTCAATTTCCCCCTCTTCCAAGTCTCTTCCCTTCTCTCTGAACCTCCTGAGCTGCACTCACAAAGCTGAGCTCATTTCTCACAGCTGTCTGTTCCATAACAGTTGTAATCAGTTCTGGGGGGAAGAAGCCTGCTCTTCTAGCTTCAGGTTAAGTAAGAAGGGATCAAAGCATTGAAAACATCCCCCTCTCTCACTTACCCTACCATGAACGACTCCTTTTCAAAGCCTCACCTAGCTCCTCCCCAAAACCTGGCCGGTTGAGGGTCTAAAAGCTCAAGAGAACTTTGCAGAATCTTTCACTCCCAAGTATGGGCAAAATAATTATGGCTGTTTCTGTTTCCCTTTAGCCTTCCTGGAAAGTTCTTGGCCCAAACTGGTCGCAACTACTGGCACTCACTGAGGAATCATCGTTGTGCCTGCTCTTGCAGGACTGCTTACCACCTTCTCTGCCTAGACCACAGAATCTTCTTCATCAAGAACTTCCATTCTCCTCATTCAGGAAGGGTGAAGGGGAGACAGCCCGAATTCAGGTACCACGTGATCATCTCTGTTTGTATATAAGCCAAAGCAAGCACATTGCTTACGGGTGTTGCAAGAGCCAAGGTTGCCTTCTCTATAGTAGGAGGCACCTGAGTACACGTGTGTGCAAGTGTACATGGATACACACACACACACACACGATCCACATGCTTTTGCCTCCAATGCACCATGGGGCACTATTATATGTACTTTCCAGTTTGTTCAAGAATCCACCCATCTACCAGTGACTGTTTGTTCCAGCTCACCACTAATGAGTCTCACAGAGTGGAAGCAAACTTTTTTTGGCTTATATATAAACGTGGCCTGGCACCCTCTGCTTGGCACACAATCCCAAGACTGATACCATCTAAGCCACGAGAGTTGCCAAAGCCTCTTTTCAGTCACAAGCAGCACGCTACACGGTCTCACTTGAATGCTTTTGCTTCCTCACCTCAACGACAAGAGCAGTTGGGGAAAAGCTACCTCTGTGCTCACGTGGCCTCCTTGGGTTCTCCTAGCTTCACTCAAAGTGGGTGGCAAGGAGCTCTTTGCCTGCTAGGAGGAAGCCCGCATGCAGCACCTCCTTTTTCCACTCCGGCCTCCCCTGCTGGGAGGGCCGGTTGCGTGGCATCATGGGAACAGGAATGGCTGACAGATGGGGGAAGGAGGAGAGAACGGGGAGGAGGAGGAGAGATGGTGCTGGTCACCAGGGTTGCCCTCCGTAGGAACCAGAACTCCAGGATCCCATAAATAAATTAAAACAACAAGAAAGGATCAAATGGGAACCAAGTTCACCCCCGTCACCCTCCGCGCCACGCGCCCCAGCCTTACCCTCCCGTACCCACCTTAGCCTCTCTCCTCCCTCACTCAGACATCAGACTCAATACTAGAAAGTTTCTCATACACATGCCCATTGCTGGAGCCATTGAAAGCCCTGGGGTTTTTGTTGTTAGGCACACAGGGGTTGGACTGGTTCCCTATACAGATGTCCTTCTGGAAGCGGCCTGGCACGGCCCCGTGAAGGGCCGAGACCACCGGCTTGTTGGTGACAAGGGCCCGGAAGTCCGGCCTGGCTTTCGACGCCCCCGCCACCGTGGGCTGCCTGAAGAAGTAGGATTTGCTGCCATGGAGCAAGCACTGGTCGTCCCCGAAAGTGGGGATGAAAGGGTTTTGCGTGACCCGGTCGGGGTAGAGCGACTTGCTGAGCATGTAGCCACCGCCGCCGGGGTTGTTGTGGTGGTGGTGTCCGGCAGTGGGCACCGAGGGCTTGCTGTTGGCAAAGGCGCTCTCGCCGGCGGGCATCTCGAACATGTGCGCGTAGGGGCTCCCATCCATGAAGCGGCCCTTGTCTTTCAGGCTCACGCTGCGCGGGGCCAGGGCGGCCTCTTCCTTCTGCAGGTCCACGAAGGTGTCGTACGAGTGCTGCCGCCGCAGCTTGTTCCGGCTCTTCTTCTGGGCCTTGGAGTTGGTCGGGCTCTGCGGGTACTTGGCGCCGGAGGCGTTGGACGCGGCCGCCGCCGGGGCCGCCGGCTGGTCCAGCTCCTGCAGGGAGTTGTCCTCGCTGATGTCGTACAGGTTGCCCGCCTTCTTGCACGCCTCGCAGCGGATGCACGCCTGCCGGCCCGAGTTCGGGCCGGGCGCCGCGGCCGCCGGGTAGTTGTGCAGCTTGGACGGGCAGCTGCGGCAGAAGTTGCCCGCGGCGCGCTCCTCCCACTCCACGTTGGTCAGGTTCTTCTCCCAGGGCGCGGGGACGCCGCCCACGCCGCCGTGCTTGTCGCCCGCCGCCGCCGCGTGCTTCAGGTGGGACCTGTTGCCGCAGGGCCCGCCCGCGCCCGCCGCGTCGCGCTTGAAGTCGTCGCCGCGCTCCTTGTAGATGTCGGTCAGGTCCACGTGCTCCCAGTGCGGCGAGTTCTCCTTGGTCCGGAACTGGTCCAGGTAGAAGTCGCGCAGCCCCTCCTTGTCCCTGAAGTAGCGCTTGTGGTCGGGCGAGCGCGGCGGCCGGCGGCGGTAGGCCAGCTCGATCTCGTCGAACTCGCGCCGGGACTTGGCCGAGGCCGGCCGCTTCTTGAGGCTGTCCTTGTACTGCTGCTTGCGCCGCTTGGCCGCGTTGCCCTCGATGTTCCCGTAGGTGACGGTGTGCGTGGAGATGTCCGACACGTCGGAGCGGATCAGGTCGTCGTGGCCGCCGTAGCGGTCGCTCTTGAAGGAGAACTTGCCGTACAGGTCGCTGAGCTGGCCATGCTTGGAGGAGGGCAGGCCGATGTCCAGGGGCTTCTTGCCCGCGGGCCGCGGCTGGGTGGTGAAGGGCGGGTTGTCGCAGTCGTAGAGCCCGTCGATGGAGCTGGCGCTGCCGATGCTGTGCGGCCGGTGGTGGTGGTGGTAGTGGTCCTGGTACACGTTGCTGTCCTTGAGCTGCAGGTTGCCGAAGGTCCTCTCCACCTCGCTGATGTAGTCGCTGAAGAGGTTCTCCTCGCACGGCGGGTTGTTGTAGGACTTGCAGTCCGAGTGCGTGAAGCTGCGCCGGTGCTCCGAGATGTCGTAGACGGACGACTCGCGCCGGATGAAGTCCAGGGCGCTCTGCGGGGAGCCGTTCACCCCCGACAGGTTGGCCATGTTCTTGGCCGTGCGCAGCAGGCGCAGGATGTTGGAGTGCGTGTTGTTCATGGTCGCGGTGGGCGAGTTCATCACGGACTGGCGCTCCTCGATGGCCACGCCGTGGATGCAGCTGTAGATGCCCTGCGGATGCGAGAACAGGACGGGCCGGGTTAGGGCTCCCGAGAGGCTGAGAGTGACCACATAGAGAATACCCGCACCGCCCACTGCCCGGCTGCATAAGAAGGGGTCAGGGAAAACGTGAAGCAGGCAGCCTAATACCCTCAGAGAGATGCGGCTAGAAGCTCGCCTCCTTGAGCCACCCGAGTGTAGCGAGTTTCATGGAACCAGCTAAAGTCGGTGATCTGGCCCCACAAAAGAGGGGGCCTGGCCTTACCAAGCACCCGGAGCCGACAGACTGGAATTGCAAAGACGCAGACTTCCTGCCTCAACTCCACCACCGACCTACCTTCGGTTTCCTTTCTGTGCCCAGATTTTTACATCTTAAAAATGAGGCCAGGATATCAATCCATAGCAAAAAAAAAAAAAAATACTGTCAGCCTCCCGGAAATAAATGGCAATGCTCTATAGATGCTGAGGTTGTTCTGCCCTGGCTGGCCACCCTTGGCCGGCAGCAAAACACACGGGGGGCTCAGTAGCTTCCAATTGCCACTCTTTCCCAGCTCTGACAAATTTTGAGCAGCTTTTAGAATTTTGGTCACCAAATAACAGCTGAGCAATTCTCTTCTTGAGCCAAGCATGAACAAAATTCACAGAGAGAGAGAATTAGGAAGCCCTGGGGTCAAAGAAGGATTTTTCTCCTGCTGTGTTCTACACTGTGGGAGGGAGGAATTGGGACAAATACCCAGTACTAAATAGGAATAAATAACTCCCTTGTTGAATTCTCTCATTTGTTCTTTCTTTGGCTCCCATTTTCCTTCTTGTACTTTCTCACTCACTTAATATTATCGTAAATAATTAATGTCTTAACAAATTAGTATTGATCCAGCACTCCCTGCATGTAGCTCCTTGGGCAGGGCTTTGAGGAACTGTCCAGGGAAGGAAATGGCTTGGGTTCCTGGAGGGCTCAGTATGTTCAATTCTAAAGTCAAGACATCATACCGCTCACATCTTGCTCCCTGACTTGGGCAAACCTGGAATTTTCTCCCTGGCAAGGGAAGGTATTTTAAGAGGAGGTTGTTCGTATTGTGTCTTTACAACAAAGGGGATTAGTTTGGGAAGGAAGGGAAGTTGTCCCAGTAGATGGGGAGGAGACGAGAGAGGTTAGAAAGGGAATGGCCGCTGTATGGGGAAGAAGAAAGGTTTAGAGGAGGTGAGCTTCATTGTTCCACAGAGCATCAGAAGATAGATCTTTTAGGTATGATTATGCTAGTTGCTTTCCTAGTCCTTCCTTCCAACCCTTCTTGATCAAGGCTAGGAGAAAATGCCAAACATCTTTCCTCTACAGAGGCATTAACTGCGTCAGAGGGTCACGAGTGGGATTTCTATTACAGGTCACCAGCTCCCATTGCTTTTGGCATCCATGTGAGACCTTAGGAAAGGGCTACACAGTGGGACAACCTGGCTCAGGGACCATAACTACCACAATTACACCTTCCTGCCCTGATGCTACTCAGTGGCCTGAATTAACTCACAGCCAGAGTGGAAATGGAGAAATTGTTGTCTAGCAGTGAAATGCTATAGGAAAGCGATCAAATGATGAAAGAATTTAATGAGAAATCCATTTTCTTACATAACTCCATTTGAGTTGAAGTTGATCATATATGGATTGTGGATCTCAATTCTTAAAGAATATTTGAGTTCAACTCTCATGAATGAGTCTCACAACTTCATTAACAAAATCAAAAGAATCCCAGTTGTTTTTTTTTTTTTAAAGAAACTCCTCCCTGTGACCTTCTATTCATATACGAAACTATGTTCCTAATGTCTAACTTTGGGCTAGAAATGAAGAAGAGAGACCTGAATAACGAATGACCTAAGCATTATGCTCTTGCTCCAATTAAAGAAGTTTCTGGAATGTAAATTTCTTATGAGTCACCTTATTTCTGAAGGTTCTGTTAAGCTCTTTAACTCCTCATAACCCACATCATGGCTAAAACACAGAGTGGAACATTGAAATCACCAATAATAACATACCTTGGTGTATGTTAGAATAAGAGAAATAATGTAACATTTGATTATTTAAATAGAAGTGTGATTTTTTTAAAAGGATTAAATGATTAATGCAGCCTATATAGAATTAACTAATGGTGATGAAAGGCAATTGGTAAAAAGCCAAACTTTCCATTTTGATAGATCTGCCAGTTCTTATAGAGAACTGAATGCCCGTACCTCACACAGAAAGCTGTTTCTGAAGGAAATATAGTATCACCCATTTTTTTGAGCCACTTGAAATTATATCACACAAAACTCCCGAGGAAATGTACGTGCTTTGGTTTCTTGCTTTCGCAAGGTAAGACTGGAGTTAGTGCCCTCTTGGGTCTCTCTGCCTTACACAGTGCTTGGCTAAGCTGTCTTTAACAAGCGGTAGGCATTTAAATCAAAGCACTTACTCTGCTGATGGAGAAGACCATGCCGGGCTTGCCAGAACAGACACCCATAAAGCAATGCCGGAACTGCCAGTAGAAAAGGTGTTCGCAGATGAAGGTGATGAGGCTGAGCGCCATGGCCGCCCCCAACATATAGAAGACTCCCGCCATGTTGTCAATGTCCAGCTGGCTGCTCATGACCTCGTTCTTCTCATTGTGGCAAATGCCGGTGAGCCAGAGAGCTTCCAGCTCTTCCATCTCCCCTGGAGACAGAACAGAGAAGGAAAACAGACACAAGGAGTAGAGAAAAGGGGGAAAGGGGGGTGTTGGGGAAGAAGGAGAAAAACATGTAGAGAGAGAGGGACAAAAAGAAAGAAAATGAACAGAGAAAGATAACAGTAATTTTGTTAATGCCATTATATATCAATTCATCAATGTATTCGATAAGTATTTGATGAAGACTTAATGTGAGTACTGTAGGTGATACAAAGACACGAGATGTTGCTTCTGCTGTCCAGTATAAGTTGGTATGGAGAAAACCAATACGACAAGCGATGTGCAGATAACAAGAGTTCAAAGTAGCGAGAGTAGTTCTGCAGATGGCATGGCTAGTGGGTTTTCATGAATCGTGGACGTGGAGGTGGGCCTGGTGGATGGGTGAATTTTAATTTACATTGTGCTAGAAGGCAATCCAGGCAGCAGGAATAGCATGATCAATGGGGAAACACAAAGCTTGTTTAGGGAAAGGCATGCAGAACAGCTCAAACAGAATAACAGTAGGCAAAAGAGCTGGATAAAAAAGATTGATGCAAGAGTGCTGAGGACCTGAGTATCAGACTCAGTGCTCTGCACTTTATTTTATAGACAGTGGGGAATAACATAATCAAACAAATGATTCCGAAAATTGCTCTTAAAATTGCGCAAAGCAGATTGGGTAGGGAGAGAGGGAGACAGAGAGAGATTGATTAATTCCCTAGGGCCCCTCAGATTTGCTGATACCCAGTTTAGAGGAAAACATAAATATAAAGAGCTAAGAGGAGTAAGTTGGATAAAATTAGACCACCAAATTCAGACCTGCCTCCTTTTAATATTACGTAAGGATGCTTTGATTACTTCAATTCATGTAAGACTTCAATAACCTTTATTCCCTTCGCTAGATACTAGGAAGTAGAAAGATACAAAACCCAGGCAAAAGGAAAATAAAAGAAACCATGTGTGCCAGAATGCATCCCATCATAGACAAGCAACATCCTGAAAACCTCATGAAGAAAATTGCCCATTCCAATGGTTTCAGTTTGGTTAAACATCTGAACTTTGTTGGCATCATCTGACTAAAGCTTTGGTAATTTTTGCACATCATCTCTGCTGCTGCTCTTCCTGATAGACACAGGCTCTGTTATTGCCTTTAAGTGACAGCTACACTAAAATTACAGGAGCTCTTATACCAACATGGCTTGTTAACACTCCAGCTAGGATGCTCTCCTCTTTCCAATGTTAATCCAATCACTTTTACTCATTTCCTTGATCAAACTATGATTCCCCTAACTAGTGGAGCGGCCCACTTCACCTGGAATCTGAAAATCCACCTGTGGCCGTCTGCTTCTGATCGAGTCCCTACCAGCAGTGCCTCTGCAGACACAACTGAGAGAGCCACTTGGCTGATGGCCAGAGGAGCCCAGTGGACTCAGGCTGCTCGTCCGTAACTGGATTAATCCATGTGAGGCTAACAGAAAGAGTCAGTACTTCGGGCAGCAAAGCGAAGAGGGATACAGAAGACAGGGGTATAATGAAATAGGAGATGAGATTTTCCCAAATCAAGTCGGCTGCTCAGTCAGCACCAGGGTGACACTGGGGAGTGGCTGAGGGTGTCTGCCTCTGAGGCTGTCTAGTCTCCTGCAGCTGAGAGAGCATGACAGAAGAGAGGGGAGAATGAGTAGAGAGTCACAACCTTATTTATTTGCCTTTTCTCCGGGCTCATAAAGAGCAGAGACCTTCTACAGTTCCATCTACTGTGTTGGCCACACGTGAGATGACTGGTTGGAACACTTAATACCAGCCTTTCCCCATCTATCCCTGAAGGTTTGATTATAGCCTGCAACCCAGAAACATACCGCCTTGACAAACTACGTTAATCCTCTCCCCTCATCTTTCACCCTGTTATGGGTTGAAAGATGTTATAATATCCCCCTAAAACCCATACGTTGAAGTCCTAATCCCCGGGACCTCGAGATGTGACTTTATTTGGCACTAGGAGCATTGCAGATGCAATGAGTTAAAACAAAGTCATCCTGGAGTAGCGTGGGCCTCTAATCCAATATGACGGGTATTATTAAGATAAAGGGAAATTCAGACACACACAGGTACAGGGGGAAAACACGCCAAGTGAACATGAAGGCAGAGATTGGGGTGATGCTTCTACAAGATAAGTAATGGCAAAGATTACAGGCAAACCACCAGATGCCAGGGGAGAGGCATGAAAAGATTCTCAAAGCCCCTAGAAGGAACCAAGCCTGCAGACACTTTCATTTCAGACCTCTAGCCCCCAGAACTGTGAGGCAAGACATGCTGTTGTTTAAGGCTCTTGGTTTGTGGTCCTTTGTTATGGCAGCAATAAGGAAACTAATATATACCCCCCCAAGACTTCACAATATACCGTGGAATGCTTTTCTAGAAATGCACATGTGAACGACATGGAGAAGGAGAAAGGGTTGGTGTTTTGTACTGGGCGTTGGTAGAGGACAAATGGGCACTTTCCCCTTTCTTTCACTTACCATCTCCAAAGAGCTGCAGGATGGCAAGGTCCACCTGGCGCTTCCACCCAGAGTCTTTCTGGATGGCGATACCATAACCGGTGGAGGCAAAGACCTTGCCACTGCCAATGGTCACCAGCTTGCAGCCTTCATCTCTGCCTGCCATGTAGTTCAGCACTGCTGCATCATAGATGAAAGCATCCAGTTTCCTGTGCAAGAAGGAAGCAAACAAATAGAATCCAGCGGAGGAATTTCAGAACAAAACTACCTATGGGGCCATTAACACGAAGCAGTAGGGTTCCAGCAAACTACTGGGGGAACTGGTTCAAAGTAAGGTTTGAGTGGGAACTCTGCCAGAATCTAAAGCCCAAATCCCAGGCTGTTCTTTATGAGATTTCAGGTTGAAAAGAGAAGTTCTTTTCCTCCCACTGGGAATGATGAAAATGTGAGTTGGGCCCGAAGCCAACTCATAAACTGTGTCTGAAAAGGAGAAGGAGTAAAAAGGAATCAATAAAAATAATAACAGAAATAATGAAAAGTAACCACCACAATGATAGCAACAAATAGCATGGGTTAGATTTATATAACATTTTTCATTTCTCAGTTCATTACAGTCCAGAGTGGGGATAAGTGTAGGTGTATGTGTTCCAATAGACGTGCAATGCTATTTTTGTGGTCAGAAATGTTCCAATATTCTGTTATGCAGCACAAGGAGAGAGGTGAGGGTTTGGGATGGTGGTGGCACAGGCTTACGTGAGAGCAAAAGTTTGACACTACAAGAGAAAGTAACATCTAGAAGAACTCAGACGTCTCAAATTCCTGAACATATGAGAACCTCATTTCATGTATTGCTCTTTGCAAGGAAGGAACAGATAGGAAGAGAGGAAGACTAGGAGTAGGGACAGGAAGGCACGAATCAGGGTTAAAACCAAGAAACAGTGAAACCTATCAAAGGTAGAGGAAGAAATTCAGATATAGCCATGCAAGTAATAGCGAGGTCTGTAGGAAAGAAAAGCATGCCTCACCCCCTTCACTTTTATAGGTTAAGTTTTGTTCCTCCTTCAGAATAATAACAAATAAGCTCCTCTGGCATGATAAGAACATTTTATGAAAGGAACCTTATAGAAAGCTCTGATATGATCAAGAACTGTGAGAGCACAAGGGGTTAGACTACCAAAAATGGTCCTACTCCCAAGGTCAAATCCCATCTTCTGAAATCTCTGGTGACTTTATTTATGGTGATAAGATGGAATCTAACAGCATTTTAAGTAACCATGTGTCTAGGTGGCTCTTCTAGGCCTGGAGCTACAGGGGTGTTGCCAGGAGGTCCAAATGTTGCTGGTTATCATACAACAAAGGGAATGCACGAGACCCTCTTGGCCCCCAAATGCCAGCATCTACAATGTGCAATTATCAATCGCATTCCATGGCTGTAGCTTTTGGGGCCCAGATGAACCAAGGGCCAAGGGTGGCTGGGACTATGCAAGCCAACATGTGTGCAGTTCGCAACTCCTTTAAATAAACAAATACTCTCCAGAGTACAGAGCTGGATCACAAAGAACACCAAGAAAGCCTGAACTTGGAAATCCATTGACACATTCTTCTAAACACTTTTCACACATTTTTCCTTTTATTTCTCCCTTGTTCCTAGGACACCCAGAACCGTCATTTTCACCTCCTTAGGACAAAAGGTCTTTATTTCATACGTAACACATGAACCTCATCTTGGACTCTTCCCCCTACTTTTACATCCATATCACTTCTGTTTTATGGTTACAGTAACACAAACAGGAAATGATTTGTAAAAAAAAAATACATAGAAATAAATAACAGCATAGGAATCTTTGTACACTGACCTGAATCATACCGTCAAATTCAACTTAGAAATCCATAAAGAGTAAATGAAGTCTTCTTTGATTTAACCTTTTCTGGCACCAAGCTTGGCAGACTAGTACCTCTGATTCAATACATATACAATAAATGTGAGAAACATATGAAGGACTCAGCTTGGAAGCAGTTCTTACCCTGTTTTCAAGGAGAGCAATGCGTCATCTACACCCCTCTGGTTGAACTTTCCCATGTAGGCATGCATTTCTGCGTAGTTATTGCGAATGTTCCTCTCCGTGCTGCCATTGGGTACAGTCCCAAAGCGAAAAGGGGGTGAGAAGTCATTAGGTCTCTGGAACTGGAGAGAGAAAGAGAGAGAGAGACAACAGTTTAGAAAATGTGAAGAGACATTAAGTTGGCATTTGTGGATTTATACTGGAAGAGACCCAACTATAATTCACCAAATACATTAGCCCTCACTCAGGAGCAGCAATTGCTGTCTGAAAGTGGATTTCAATTCAACTCAATTTAATACATATTGTTGAGAGATTTCTATTTGCCCAGCCCTGACTTTAATCTATAACTCTCTGTGTTCCTTTTATGAATACTGCACAACGCCAGTAATGATGGGCCAAAAAAGAATGTACTGTTAGCTTAACTGCAGCAGACTAGTCACTTTTATTTCTGCAAATTATGTAAAATCTGTATTCGGGCTTCTTAATTTAAGGGCCTAAATATATTATCATTGCATTTGTAAGGCTACAGGACCTTAGTGAGGTGAGTTATGTTGTGCTCCTGAAGATAATTTGTTGAGTATCAAATAGGTTTTGCTAAGAAATTTTCTCTTGCCCTTCCCTGATGCACTCAGAGCTCATATTTACCCCACATGAGTTTAGGATAAATTGTAAAATCAAAGACAATTTTAATTATATTCCTCCTCTTGCTTAAGAACAGAGAGTAGAACTCCAGTCCGAGCATAATAAAGTGAAATCTCTTGGATGTTCACCCTTATTACATCAGCTTTATTTCTGGCTATTACCCTGTAATGAGTGAGTCTTTATGTTGCTTCCTGAACACATAATTTGTTCATTTGTATCTTCACAGCCGCATACGGTCCATCTCCGCAGCATAAACTCATCTTTCTCTCTAGTCCAATTCATGTCCTTCACTTCAAAATATAACTTAGGCTGGGCACAGTGGCTCATGCCTGTAATCCTAGCATTCTGGGAGGCCAAGGCGGCTGGATTGTTTGAGCTCAGGAGTTCGAGACCAGCCTGAGCAAGAGTGAGACCCTGTCTCTACTAAAAATAGAAAGAAATTAGCTGGACAACTAATATATATATATATAAATTAGCTGGGCATGGTGGCGCACGCCTGTAGTCCCAGCTACTCGGGAAGCTGAGGCAGAAGGATTGCTTGAGCCCAGGAGTGTGAGGTTGCTGTGAGCTAGGCTGACGCCACGGCACTCACTCTAGCGCAGGCAACAGAGTGAGACTCTGTCTCAAATAAATAAATAAATAAATAAATAGGAGAAAAAAAAACACACAACAAAATATAACTTAAAACAATTTCTTCAGGATACTTTCCATGAATTCTTTCTTCCATCTAGTCTCCCCAAAAGTACCTGTCAGTACTTATTGTTCTTGGTTTAGATCTTGTAATTCATAGTACAAATTCAATTACTCTTGAAACGGGCTGGCTAGGGTATGAGAGCTAGTCTCTGAGGTAGTTAACGAGTTCAAGCTCTAGATGGAAACAGATAAGGAATTTTGAAGACCAGCCCTGCCACTTACCACTGTGTGACCTTGGGCAAGTAATGTAAACTCTTTGGGCATCATTTCCTCATTTGTAAGAAGGAGACAATTAATGCCTAGCTTTCAAGATCGTTGTGAGGATTAAAAGATAGAATGTATGAGAAGTGCTTGGGACAGCACCTGGCACACAGCAAGTGCTCAATGTTTCCCCAGATTCTTTTTCATTCGTGTCTATATTCTGCATTTCCTAGTAAATTTCTGGCTCTCTCAGCTTCCCATTCTCTGACTACAGCAGTGTTCGTGTGGAATATGACCAGAGCAGCTCTGCTGTGCCCTGGCGTAGGAAAGGTGATGAAGATATTTAAAGTCCTCTTGTTTTCAGTACCGTACCATTTGCTTTGGAGATGTGTTTGAAAATCTAACCTGCCAATTCAGGAGATCGCTGAACCTTTGGAATTGCCTGGACTTAGAAGCAATTCTTTTCCTTCTCAGAATACGGGGGTTTCACGGCCCACAAAATGCCATAGCACCAGGAACCATCAGCGCCATCTTAATTGCTCAGTGTTGGCCATGGTTGAAAGCAAAGTCATGAGGAGCTGTTAGGCGATCTGTGGTGCATCAAAAGGCTCCCACTTCCTGCCTGAAAGAGCTCCGCTTTCACTCATCACAGTGCCTTTTGCCATGAATAGTTTTTGTTTCGCTATTTTTAAAGGAGTTATGATTTTTAAGTGAATGAAGACACTATAAAAGAGGCAAAAAAAAAAAAAATTTAGAACTGAATGGGCCACTCAACGTTAACTAGTCCAACCTTCTCATTTTACAGATGATGAAACTGAAGCCCAAAGAGGGCAAGTAATTTGCTCAACTTCACACAGTGACAGTGGTGGCTACCCAGTGGCCTAGTGATCCCTCACTGCCCCCAGCAGACAACAAGTAAAGTAAACATGGGCATGCTGTACTGAGAGACAGACACCAGAATGCTTTGCATATTCCTGTGAAATAGAACACTTCAGATGTTTGAAGAAAGGTGTTCAACAAACCAAAAGTAGAGTAAATACTATGGTAGACAATAATTAATTCTATTTAATCAGTTGTTCTCCCACTTTGCTAGCACAATGACAACCAGTACTCAGAATAACTAAGATACTCTAAGGTGCAAAGTATTTTCTGAAGCATCAATGAAAATTGTAATCATGTCCAATACAATTCTAGTATAAATTAATTATATTCTAATTTTTTTTTGAAAATTAGCAAGCCATACAAGGTATATGCAGCCATTTTTGATTAACCACATGGAATCCAATGCCCAGAGTGCCTCACTTCCTGATGAAGCTACATTATAGGGTATTTCCATACACCTCTATAGAAATTGTTAACTTTAAATTATTTTTCGATTTCTAGATGCTGTTTTATAACTGTATTCCTGAATAACTAAAAACTAAAGAAATGATAGAGGATCTAGCATAGTTAAGACAACTTTGAATAAAAACAAAATTAAAGGACTTATACTACCTGACTTCAAGATTCATTATAAAGCTACAGTAACCATGACAGGGTGTTATTAGCATAGAGATAAAGAGATCATCGGAACAGAAGAGAGTGCCCACTAATAGACTCATACATAAACAGTGCAAAGGCAATTCCTTGGAGATAGGATGGTCTTCAACAAATGGTGTCGGAACAATTAGATATCCATATGCAAAAAAAGAACTTCATTTCACACTTCACAAGATACACAGGAATTAACTCAAAGTGGAGTTAATTCCACTCAAACTCATATATCTAAAATATAAATCTTAAAATTATCAAACTTCTAGGAGAAAATATAGGAGAAAATACTTGTAACCTTGAGACAGACAAAGATTTCTTAGATACAACACCAAAAGCACAATCTACCAAAATAAATAAACAAAAAGATAAATTGGGACTTAGAGACAAGATGGCTGACCAAAGACACCAGCTGCCCATTCGTTTCAGAAAGGAGGAAAAGTTTTAGGATGAAAGAGAAAACCAACAATCACAGATTGGGTGTAATTGCAAGGAAAAAGTGCCAGAACCAATAAGAGATTCTACAGGAAGAAGTTGAGGAGCAGAACAAGAAGGAGCAAAATATTTGCAGAGGTCAACCCCTGAGAGGCTTAGAGTTCAGAGAAAAGGGCAGGTGGGACAGTTTCTCCCTCCCCTACATCTCTAGCAGCCAGCAGGTTCCTGAGCTGCAGGAGAGCCTTTCTACCCTCATGAGCCCCAAAGCTGCTGCCACCCGTGAACTGGCAGCTTCTTGAGGACAAAACAGCAGGCTGCCAGCCCCCTTGGGGTCACTTTCTGTCACCACAGACCTGAGCTGGGATGGCAGGTGTCTTATTGCTTCTCCACCGGCCATACACCTTTGTCCTCCCCACAGGGCTTCAGCCCCTTATTTTTTGTCTTGCTTGTTCCCACACAAAGATTTCCCAGTGGTGGCCTAGACGACGGGAGCCACAGGGAGCCAGTGGATCCTGGGGAATCTGTGTGACCCCAGGTGAGCTGCCTTCTAGAGAGAGGGTCGGAGATGACCAGAGTGCTAGCTTTCTTCATTTCAGACTCTTTTTCTTCCCCGCCCCTCACCCACCTGCAGCTGCTGAGAGAGACACTTGAGCCAGGGCTCTCAGGAGCTGCTGCCTCCCCTCTGTTGGGGCTTCTGCAGAGAGTGGGGCTCAAACCGTTCCTCTTAAAGACCTGCCGAGGACTAAGGGGTGCTTGGACTGTGAGCTCCCTACTCACCGGCCCTCCCCAGTGCTGCCTGCCTGGCTGGTCCACCAGAGCAGGGCACACCCCAAAACAGACATCAAACCTGCCTGAGCACCCCATAGGCAATTTGGGGCCAGCATGCTTCTCTCTGGTATGTGAAGGGATTGATCTTTGGGGATTTGGGGACATGCCTAACGGCCAGATGCCATACCCCAGAACTGGATCATGTTGCTCAGAGGCACAGAAGGGAGGTTTGTGAAGTAATCTTGGGAGGTGAGGGAGCCTGCGTGGGCAAAACTGAAAAGGGAGTGCAGTGTGGGTCCCAGCCATGGCACACTCATGTAGCACCACTCCCCCCACAGGAAAGCTGTGCTCTCGGCCCAGGGTGGGATCCTGGACTGAGAAGCTCCCAGCCCACAGTGCCATCATGAAGAAGCTCAGCCAGATTGAGTTCCTGCCTGCAGGCAGACATCGGAGGGAGACTGCAGAGCAGGGGAGGGGGAGAAGAGCGAAACCCGCTCCTGACAGCCAGACTATAGAACTCAGACAGCCCCCACCTCCACAAGCAGATTTTCTGGCTGAGTGGGGCTACCTCAGCCCCTCCCTGGACACTTTCCCCAGAAGCTTGGGGGCGGATCTTTGATCCCCCACTGAAATAGCTATGTTACCAGCTTTTGTGGAACCTGAGGGCAGGCTCACCCAACCCAGCCCCACCCAGCCTCACTCCCCTTCCCGCCTCTTCTGTGATGGAGAATAAAGACTCACCTGGAAGTTCCAGGACCCCACCTACCACCTGGGACATTAAAGTGCTTCTCCTGAAGGGCTAGAGCCAGGCACAGATTCCAAAAATAATACTGCAGCTTGTCCCTTCTGGCAA